TCATATGTCATTACATCAGAATATTGAGGTTTTTTTTGTATCTCTTCCAAATTCATTGTATTTTTGTGTTGCCTTAAAGACGTTATGACGGGTTTGATTTATTTAGAAATACAGTTTTAATACCATTTTATATTAGAAGAGAACTACTAAAGGTTTCAAAATCAGTTGTTGTTTTTTTTGTCTGATCCCCCCAAATCGAAATAACCCCATAGCAACGCCCTTAGAGACAAAAAAACTTCACAGCCCTTGGTGACGTCAGAGTGGGTACGTTTCAACGCTGTAAGTTGTTTACAATTTGGTATTCGTTCTTTTTTCGCGGATATTCAAGATGACAAGGCTGTGTACAGCGAGTCTGACATAAATACTAGATTGTAACTTAACGTTGTCACTGAGATAGTCCAGTGGTTGTGTCGATGGACTGCCAATCCAGATACTGGGGTTCATGTCCCACCTCAGACACTTTTTTTACTCTCAAAAAGGCAATTTATGTGTAGTGAGCAATTGTCACCTGTAGAGGGCAGTATTGTGTTGGGCATCAGTGAAGAGAAGAGAGAAAAGGCAGTCCTGTGGCATAGATCCATGGTTTTCAATGCATGGGCGTTACCCGCTATGACGTCACACACAGGTTAGAACATAGACAACTTAAATTCATGAAAAACACGTTCTTTTTATAAAATATAGGATTTTTTTTGCCGGAATCTCTTTCAGATTGACATTGTCATGCAATTTTGATATCCACAATTTTTTTTTTTAAACCCGGCATAAGGTCTTTAAATCACAACAACCATCGTTTATACACTTTATAACAGAGAATCAATTAGTTCGAACACCGAAAATATAAACAAACACACAGGAGCCATTAGTCCATAGAGCACAATCACCACAGTCCATAAATGTTCTGGATCATCACTGTCCTCACCCCCTCCTCCATCGGCAACTACTCAACCTAAACTTTTAATTCCAAGCTATTTCATTAACTAGCTGTGACCGACTTCCTCCTGCCCTGACTCCTCAACTCTCTCCGTATCTGCTCCAAGTTCCGAGCCAATGAATGTGAATTTCAAAAGTCGACTGGTCGTGATTCGGTTTTCTCTTTCTTGTTCTGTCCTGAGGCGTTCGAGACGAGTTTCGGGAGTGCGATAACGCTGGGGGCTGGCCTCGGGGGTTACTTCCTCCAGACCACAAAAGCCCCTGGAATAGTTGAAGCAGTAATGAGTTCACACACGCCACTCTTGTACAGCAGGTGGGAGCGAAGTCCAAAGTTCCGGGCGAAGAATCTCCAGAATGTTCCCATCAATTTAGATTGGATAAAATGTCAATATTATTTTGTTATTTACTTCAATGGGATCTTGTAAAACATCCCGGGGAGAACCACACAATCTCAATATTGTCCTTAAATCTTGGGTACCTAACTTCAATCCAATAAAATGTATGTCTTTCAATGATAGAAAACACATTGGTGTTGGTCCATAACGGGCAGAGACCAATGTTGTTGAAGGTTGAGTGTCCTGTCTTTATGTTAGACCCTCCTGCATCAGCAAGAACCAACTCCATAAGTCATCCATAAGTGTACTTTTATATAATTTTGTAGAAAGAGCCTTGAAAGTCACTACTTGAGGCTTTGGGCTGAGAGAAGTGAGCGTGGTCCTCTGTCTTTTACTTTTCTGTCTGAAAAAGCTGATGTGACGGAGGCCAAAAACACACGATGTGAAAACTAAAGATAGAAGCAGACCATTTTTGAGCCAGGAACGAGTGATGAGGACTTTGTGACATGTTTAACTTTTTGAGAGGGTTTTATTTCTGGGTGAAGAATGTCCAGCATGTTCAGAATGTTCCTCTCTCCGGTCGAATCAGTTCTGGGACTGTATCTTACTTTTTCCATTGGATTTTATTATTTAATACTATGGAATGTTTTGAAAAATAATGAAAATAAATGAATCAATGTATCCCCTGGTATGTTGTCCAGGATATGCATTGATTCATTCATTTCCATCACCTTTATTTGTCCATTCCTGGGTTGGACGGTGGAGGGAAAGGAGCTCTATGCACGCACCACTTCCGCATTTCAGCTACAACCCCACCTCACTTCCTGTGCGCGGGGAACGGCTTGAGTTTCACTGTAGTTCAGCAGTGGTTTACACGAGTTCCCTAAATAATGCTCAAACGGGAATTAAACTGAGGATACTGGGCATTTTTGGGACACAACAGTGCTCTTTGATTGTGCTGTCATTGTGTTTTTTATAAAGTTTACAAATCTCTCTGAGTGGCCACAGTCAAAGCTCTACCTCAGAGAGAAAGCACAGCAACACTTTTGGGTCAGTCTCACAGCTGAATGTCAGATTCAGATTCATTTTATTAGCCATGTGCAGTATAAAAACTACATTGGAATACATTAGCAAAAAGGTACTCTCTGTGTGCACCAACAGAAAAAAGAGCAAAAAAACAGCTGACACTGTGGCACCGATCAACAAAACGATACAAGGGGTAAAAGCAGGAATTAAAGTGCTCTGTTTAGGCACCTAACAGCCTGTGGAAAGAAGCTGTTAGCATAGCAAGATGTCCTGCATCTCAGCGACCGATATCTTCATCACGGTGCACAACAGAGCTCTTGCAGCGGCGCCCTGGCACGGCGCCATCTTGTTTGCTGTCAGACAGACAGTGACAGACAGTATCAATCTAATTAATAAAAAACATCACTAAAACCCACCTAAAAGCCATAGGATAGCATAGGCAGGAAGTGAACGGGCTGATCTGCGTTAACAGGAAATTACATCACGCCTCCCCGTGCATATACCCCATAAGAGCTGCCACACAATTTTTCTTATGTGACAAATCCAGTCTTTTTTGTGCTGCTGTGGCTAGCTTTCTTTTTTCATCACCAAAAAGAACCACAAAGAAGAGCTGGAAGCCACGAGTTGTTGACATTCTTAAATCATATCTCGCCGATGCAGGAGGGTCGAAGGGCAATGGCGCAGATCCAGGACACTCAACTTTCAACCACATTTATGGACTTTGTTCTCTGCCCGTTATGGACCAAAGGCTCTATGTGTTTTTATATCATTGCGTTTCTTGTGTTTGAACTGTTTGTTTCTCTGATCTGTATCAGCAAATCAACAGTTTTGTGGCCTCTAATATAACTTCTGTTGTGATTTAGCGTTATACTAAAATAGATTGAATTGAATTGATTTGAACGGACGCAATTCCTGAAAAGTTTCTCAAACCTGGTGTGTTTGTGTAGTAGAAGTGAGGACAGACTCGGCCAGAACGTGCTGCGTCACACTCTCTCACGGCTGTCGTTGCCAAATCCACGGAACAGTTGCTCATTCAGGATCACAGCAAAACTAACAGTACATCACGGACAATTTCGTAAGCGATAGTGAGTGGGCTCCAGAGAATCCCTGTGTGTGTGTGTTTGCTGCTTTACTACATTTATGCAATAATTTTTTTTTTTTCAAGAACAAAGACATAGCGGGTCATACATGCAAGTACGACACTACCATCTTTGGACATTTATGAACATTTATGAACGTTGGTCTCTGCCCCTAATGGACCAATGGCTCTATGGGAGTTTATCATTACATTCCCTGCAATTAAACTGTGATTCTCTGATCTGTTATCGGTGAATCAGCAGCTTTGTAAAGTTCTTTGTAAAATAGTACTGCCACCTCTCCCTGACTCAGGTTGCCCCATATGCAGACAAATAGTCAAGTTTTTACTTCCTTGTTTTGTTATTAATAATTTTAGAATCATAAGACTTTTTTAGTCCAGCAGCCACATGTGACTTCACCAGTGAGATTAGCTCAACGCAGTGAGTTCTGATTGGTGAAACGATGGAGGGCGGGAGATTGAATTTAAAACGATAACAAGATTTAGGGGCTGTAAAAGTTTAAATTTCAGCTATATCGGCTGAACTACAGTTATCATTTAAATAAGTATTGGAAAAGAGCATGGTTCATTAAAGTCTTTTGACATATTAGGGCCATTTAATGATGACTTGACATGAAAATCTTATCATATTGCTACTTTAATATTAATTGTCCTTCAGGGTAATATGATCAAACATTTTCAAAATGCAATCGAAGGTGCAGACATTTATATAATATTACATCTTCAAACTTTCTCATGCTCCCATTCACAAGAAAATCCAATCATCGTTTTTAAAAAACTGCGTTCTGCGAGAAATTTTTCAATCATTTAGGACTGAGGCTCGAGGCTCTTACCTCGGTTTCTTTTAATTCAACAATAATTAGCCAGAACTGCATGTCAAAGCCAAATCCTGTTAGACCTCTGAAGCTAAGCAGGGCTTGGTCAGTACTGTGATGGGAGACCTCTAGGAACACAAGGTGCCACAGTGGGGCTGATCTCTCTCTGGATTTACCTTACTGTGGAGGTTATCTTTTTCCAATGTAACTGCCGCAATAAACCAGTGACCTCTGTACTGTGAAAAATATGATATGAGACTACAGGGTAATATATATATATGTGTTTTCTTTTCACAATGCAATCAATTGAAGGTACATACATCTATATAATATTACATCTTCAAACTGACCTTTACTCTCATGTTCCCATTCAGAAAAAAATCCAATCATCGTTTTTAAAAAGCTGGGTTTTGCAAGAAAAATTATGTTAATTTCTATCGTTTATGACTGAGGCTCAAGGCTCTTACCTGGATTTATTTTATTGTAACATTTATTAGCCATACCTGCATGTTCAAGCCACATCCCATCAGACCTCTGAAGTTAAGCAGGGCAAGACCTGGTTACTACTATGAAGAGAGACCTCTGGGAACATCAGACACCAGTGGGGCTGATCTCTTTCTCTCTCTCTGGTCTTTCTTTCTCTCTCTCTCTCTCTGGTCTCCCTCTCTGGTCTTTCTCTTTGATCTCTGGTCTACCTCTCTGGTCTCTGTTCTCCCTCTCTGGTCCCTCCCTTCCATACATTGAATTTTTCTTGTGCCTTCTCAACAGGTGATTTAAGCCCCACCCCTTCAATCAAATATGGACTTCCCGGACGACTTCCTGTTGACGGAGCTGAGCCACCTGCAGCTGTACAACGAGACCCTGTACCACAGTAACCTGAGCAACTTCTACAACGAGACGGACACGCTGCTCCCCACCAGCGTCAAGGTGACCATCGTGGTGGTCTACATGATCGTGTGTGTCATCGGCCTGGTCGGCAACTTCCTGGTCATGTATGTCATCATCAGGTAAGAACCAATCAGAGGATGGTCTCTCTCACTGGTCTCTCTCTGGTATCTCTCTGATCGCTCAGTGGTCTCTCTCTCATCGCTCATTGGTCTCTCCCTGGTCTCTCTCTGGTATCTCTCTGATCACTCATCTCTCTCTGTTCTCTCTCCGTATATTCCGTTGACCAAATCACTCTGGTCTCTCTCTGGTCTCTCTGGTCTTTCCTTGGGTCTCTGTGGTCTCACTCCCTGGTCTCTCTCTCTCTGGTCTCTCTTTGGTCTCTCGCTAGTATCACTCTGGTCTCTCTCTAATTTCTCTCTGGTCTCTCTATTTTTGTGGATTATTTCTATACTCTAACCTTGCGATAAACCTACATTACTGAGAATTATACTTAATCTAGTTGATGATGTTATTATATTCAAAAGGCAGACAGCTGAAACTGTTCATTTTGACGCTAAAGTGTGTCCAAAGTGTTTGACTGTGAGGCTCAAGGCTCCAACCTCGGTTTCTTTTAGGTCGACAACAATGGTCTTTTTGCAGCTATGATTCTGTTAAAGCTGAAATGTCTGCACTTTCTCTCAACTGGAAATTGAGCTGTGGTAATGTAAAGACCTATTATTTACATTACGTTACGTAACATACGATTGGGAATGTTAAAGCTTGATGCAACTGTATTTGATCAGTTTGCCCTCATACCATTCATATGTGTCCTGTATTCGATTGTCGTGGTGAGGAGGGAGCAGCATCTGCGTTCAAAGCTTCACCTCTAGTCATGAGCTCTGGGTAATGACCGAAAGGACAAGATCACAGATACAAGTTGTCCACATCAGTCTCCTCTGCGGAGTGGCTGGGCGCTCCCTTAGAGACAGGGGGCCCCACTGTGGCACCTGGGGTTCCCAGAGGTCTCCCATCACAGCACTAACCTGCCCTGCTTAGCTTCAGAGGTTTGATGGGTATCTGACTTTCACCTGTAGGTATGGCCACTGTGCAGCACACATACAGTATCATACAATATTATAATATGACACACACACACACACGCGCACACACACGCACGCACGCACGCACGCACGCACGCACGCACGCACGCACGCACGCACGCACGCACGCACGCACGCACGCACGCACGCACGCACGCACGCACGCACGCACGCACGCACGCACGCACGCACACACACACACACACACACACACACACACACACACACACACACACACACACACACACACACACACACACACACACCCACACACACACACACACACACACACACACACACACACACACACACACACACACACACACACACACACACACACACACACACACACACAATGGGCCTCTTGTTTTTACCCAGTTGAAGCTTGAGTATTTCAAACGTTCCTAGTATCTTACAAAAGCTCACACTGATCATGATTTATTTTTTTCTTGGAGAAATTGTGTTTCTCTGAATGGATTAATACAACAAACAAAGCAGGAGTTGTTGGAATGTTCTTGTCTCTGCCGCTCTTCTTCCAAAAGAGCACAGTTCTCACACGAGGCGACGCAAAGTGCAGAACAAAACAAGATTAAAAACCACTCAAAGTTCACTCAAGGCTTTAAAATCATAGATATTCACAGTACACTCAAAAGAGAAAGAAATACAGGTGTCAAACTTGCAATTTAATTATTTGTGTTGGTCTCTCTCATCCTCAAAGACCTATTTGGAAGCATACATGGGCGTCTAACCCTCAGTTGTTATCAGTGTGCTTACAATTCAACATAATAACCCGTCCATCCACCTAAATAGTCCGGATGAAGCACTGAAGGATCATCACAATTAGCTTACAGCTAGCTAGTGCTGCAAATACATATTTAAATTGCCTCGCGGAATAATATTGGTACATTAGCCTAGCATTACCGTTAGTCAAATGATCAAACAAACCCAAATGGGGTGAAGAAACATGCTAACAGAACAGAACCCCTAATTTTTGTTAATTATCGGCCTTTATCAAATGGTTGAGATGCAGTTTGATGGTAAAAGTGTCTAAAACCAAGTGAGATGCTCCAAAGAGGGAGAATTCAGTTCCAAGCTTCAAGGTATATAGAAAGATTACCGCACTCTCCACTTTAGAAAAAAATGCAGATGTTCAACGCTGTCCCTGCTCCAGAGGGAACGCCACAATAACATGTGCGAGAGACGTGCACGAGCCCAGTTCTCCTCGTGCACGTTCTGTTTACAAGCCACTGTTGGCATTGCTCACTTTCCAGAAGATTTGCTCTTCTTCCTTTATGTCAGACAATATAGACACAGATAACGTTTACTGGAGGTGATTTGAAATGGATTCCAATAGAATCCAAACTTCACCGGTAGAGTTGAAACTTGGTGACCGAAGCATCAGAGGGAACCTGGGCTTTCAGCGCACGCCATCGAGTGAAAGAATCTCCCAAAAACACATACCACCAGAATGATTGACAGATAGGAGGACCAAAAGTCTTGATGATCCAACAGAAAAAAGAAAAATCTCCTGTAAACCCTTAAAGTGACTCATAAGCCCTATTCGCACAGGAGTAGTGTGACCTGTGGACCTCTGGGAATTTGTGACAATCATGGAGGACGTCTGCGAATGCTCCGTGTTTGTAATTTGTAAGTAATAATTCCGCCGCAAATGATCTCCTGTATTTGTCCAAACACAGACGTTTAGGGATAATACTTGTTTTTTGTCATTATCTTGCGTCTCTTCATATCTCCTCCCGACTGGAACCATGGAGACTGCGGTGGAAATGTTGATACGCAGTTTTGAAGTTTTTTAGCAGCAAACTATAAGACGGCTCAGACACATCGTAAGAGCAGCGAGTGACGAGCGCCTCTTTTCAGGAGAGAGCCGCGTCTCGCAGGTCTCCTCTAAAGTTTAACTACAAGTGATGTGTGTGTGGAGCTGATCTAATGCCAAGGGCCGTCAGAACAAACATGTTTTCAGACTTGTGCATGTGCGGCCGTTATGTGTCCGTTATTACTATGTCAGTGAAAATATAATCATGTACAGCTTATTACGTGTGAATGCACTGCAAGTATCACAGAGGAGGGCCGGTACTTTGAAATATACCAGAGGTGCACAGGTAATACTAATCTTGTGCGAATAGGGCTAAAGAGTGATCCACCGAATGATTGAGGAAACCATTAAAGGGTTAATTAATGCGACTTATAACCAGGTGCACATAATGCTAACACAAATATGATCCTTTTATTAAATATACTTTACTTTTGAGTTTTTGCCTTTAGAATTCAAATAGGATGTCTTAATTAAAAAAACATCACAAGGCTACAGTTTTAATGCAAAGTAAAGATTACATACAAATAATAATAATAATAATAATAATAATTATATGGTCTTGATGCTCTCTACATCGTTCCCACACTTTTCTCCTCCGGTAACTTCTCTGCAGTTTCTAATAAATCCCTTCCTCCGACACGTCCCTCTGGTGCCATAACTTACAGAACAGAGTAACGCGGGTCTTCAAACATTGCTACATTCTCAGTGTGTCGTGAAACAGACATTAAAGTGATGCTGTTGTTGGTGTATTCTTGTGTTGTGAGCGTGGCGTGCTCCTGGGAGGTCAGGCGGCACCGGAGCGTGGGCGGAGCCTGGATCTCCTGCTGCCGCCGTCTCTTCTCTCTCCACACGTAGCTTTTGTTCTAGCATCAGATAGAGAATCCGTGGCCTGCATTATTCCACAGGCGCAGGCAGCAGAGATGGGACTTTGACCTGTGGCACTTTCAGAGGAACGTGTTTGAGATGCATCGCTGAGAGAGAGAGAGAGAGCGTTATGCAAAGTCCTGCTCTCTGCGGCAGGAAAGCAGGATTTTTTTGTGCCGTCTGCTGCACATTGGGGTTGTCTTGCACGGTTTTTCTAATGTGGTTTTACAGCAAATGACAACACAAATCTTGAATCTTCTTTTTTGAGTTGAGAATCCTTCTACACAGGGGTTTTCATTGGAGCTGAGTTGAGTGTTTATTTATTACGAGTTCAATGTACATCAAGCATTATTAAACGTTATCAAATGCCACGACATAGAATTTCTAACAAATCATTCATTAACAATTCATTATTTTAATAATCACACAAAATCTGATAAGGAAGGGGGAGGGAAAAAAACCCGTATACATTCCCTGGGAATATCTGATTTACATTAACTGTGTGGACATACTGTGCCTGCAGGTGAAAGGCAGATCCTGTCAGACCTCTGAAGCTAAGCAGAACAGGGCCTGGTTAGTACTGTGATGGGAAACCTCAGTGGGGCGGGGGCTGTAAATTGCCGAACTCATTGTGTCCTTCGGCAAGACCCCTCACCCACATTAGAATGAGTCTGGTGTGTGTGTGTGTGTGTGTGTGTGTGTGAATAGTTGGTGGTGGTAAGAGAGGCCGATGGCACAAACTGTTTTTCTCACTTCTGTCAGTGTGCCTCAGGGCAGCTGTGGCTGCTGTAGTAGTTTATCATCATCATGTTTGGAGAGAAAGAATAATGACACGTGAAGTGTTTTGAGAGTCCGGAAAAGTGCTATATAAAACCAATTATTATTAGAATAAGGCTTTTTGTCTTTTATTTTTTAGCCCGAGAACTTGGTTTGCTTCATTATTTCAGTGTGATGTCACATTTACTCACTGAGAAGGAGTAAAAATGCTGCCTACAGAGGTGCCACAGAGAATCTGCATAATGTTTACATCTGCACTTCTCTGCGGCAAACAACCACACGCACGGCACGGACACACACACACTGCTTCCTTTGCTCTCCCTCTGCTCCTTCTGCTCCCTCTGCTCCCTCTGCTCCCTCTGCTCCTTCTGCTCCCTCTGCTCTCCCTGCTCCCTCTGCTCCTTCTGCTCCCTCTGCTCCTTCTGCTCCCTCTGCTCCTTCTGCTCCTTCTGCTCCCTCTGCTCCTTCAATCAATCAATCAAAGTTTATTTGTAGAGCGCCTTTCATGCACAGGGCAACACAAAGCGCTTCACAGTCCACATCACAAATCATCACATAAAACAAACACCAGAATCACAATTAAAACATTAAAATCACACAAAAGAATAAAACCATTAAAACTTTCAAAATTACACAAGAAATTTAAAAAAATAAATAAATGACAGCAGTGCATTAGAAATGGAGATAAAATCCTTCAGTTGTATGCACAGGCAAACAGAACAGTCTTTAACCTGGATTTGAACATTGACAGAGTAGACGCCTCCCTCACATTTTCAGGGAGATTGTTCCAGATCTTAGCTGCATGGATCTGAAACGCAGCCTCCCCATGTTTGGTTCTGACTCTGGGCACCAGCAGGAGGCCAGTCCCTGTGCTCCTCAGAGTCCGGGCCGGTTCATATGACACCAACATGTCACTAATGTATTCTGGTGCAAGGCCATGGAGAGACTTGTACACAAGCAGAGCTGTTTTAAAATCTATTCTCTGAGCCACAGGAAGCCAGTGCAGAGACCTGAGGACCGGACTAATATGGTCATACTTCCTGGTTCCTGTCAGGACTCTAGCTGCTGCATTTTGGATGTACTGCAGCTGCTTACAGGTCTGTTTGGACAGACCTGTAAGCAGGCCATTGCAGTAGTCTAGCCTGCTGGAGACAAATGCATGGACAAGAATCTCCAAGTCTGCCCTGGACACTATATTTCTAACTTTGGCAATGTTCTTCAGATGGTAAAAAGCTGTTGATGTTATTGATTTTATGTGGCTATTGAAATTTAGGTCTGAGTCCAGTATTACCCCCAAATTTGCTCCTTCCGCTCCTTCTGCTCCCTCTGCTCTCCCTGCTCCCTCTGCTCCTTCTGCTCCCTCTGCTCCTTCTGCTCCCTCTGCTCTCCCTGCTCCCTCTGCTCCTTCTGCTCCCTCTGCTCCTTCTGCTCCCTCTGCTCTCCCTGCTCCCTCTGCTCTTCCTGCCCCCCCCCGTTCCTTCTGCTCCTTCTGCTCTCCCTGCTCCATCTGCTCTGACTGAAATGGTTAGAGATATAATTTCTGTCTCTTTCATTTTCTCTTTTTGCACTTTTGAATAGTTTTTTGGGTACATCTTAGCTCTTGTTCTTCTCCCGGGCGTGTTGACACATGATAATATCGAGAGAAAACATGTTTTTTAGCTGTGAAACCAGAAACCTGTTGGCAACACGTGTACGCTGAGCTTCTTATGAAATCTTTTTATTCTAATTTATTTTACTCTCAGTTAAATTATTTACACTTTAAAGTTCACACACTCAGCCAGAAATGTTTTTCAATTTAATATTTTTTTTATCTTCCTAAATCACAACAGCAGTTATCTCAGGGGACTTTAAAGAGCTGTCGATTCACCAACACAGATCAGAGAATCAGACAAACACAGAAATCGATCACAAAGACATAGAGCCTTGGATCCATAAGGGACAGAGACCAAAGTTCATAAATGTGGATGGACAGTTTACACTTTTTCCAAGAACTGTTGTTTTATTTTGTAATTCCAAATGTATTTTCTCATTCCAAAGGAGAAATGTCATGTATCTATTTAAAACCATAAGATCATATAGCTTTTTCCCATCGGCAAATCTTGTTTTAAAGCAGTCCAAATTTGACCAATTTTGGACTTTGGATCCGAAACCTGGTCAAATCTTTTCATAAAAATGACTAGCTTGACTTTTAAAAGAAAATGTAAAAAAACAAGTGTGCACAAAAAAGTCAATTTTACCCAAAGCTTACACCAAAGACCAACTCGGGGCGGTCACAGCTCCAGCCTTCTTCTCCGTCTGATCTCGGACATTTCTTGGACATATTTTCCAGTTGGCTTGACCAGGACAGAAGTTACTCTTTAACTAATATTGTCGTTCTCAGGCCTCGTTCCTTGAGCTGCTGTAAATACTGAGCACTTTAAACCCGTTCCAGTTTGTTCGCTCTGAATCCAGACAAACAAAAGCACGCATCAGCGCTGTCTCTGCAAACAGGGATTTACAACAGGCGTGTGTTTGTTCGCACACGTCAGCGCAGTCAATGATGAGGGTATGGATTATTTGTTCGGAAATAACTGTTGTGTGTCGAGGAAGCCGTGACCATCACTGGGTGTATAGGTAGTATAGGTACATTGGTAGTATAGGTACATTGTATAGGTAGTATACACGGGTGAAAATGATGACATGTGAGGTGATAATTGCTTGAATCGATTGGTTTGTATCTTACAGGGAGTTTACACAGTAGGCGTTAACAGCACGTACGTGTTGACTGCACGCATATGCGCGTAACATTATTTGGCTGTATGTCCACTGGCCATCCGCGCAGGTCCGCGGCTTCTGATGCTCTCCCTGTGTAGTCTATGGAGAAGTGTAGAGGACAGTACGGGCCAGAGGACTGATGTAGAGAAACACAAATCACATGCATGTGTTTGTCTACATGGTCTCTGTGCGCTGGTTTGGCCAGACGCCAGACTTTATGAAAGAAAAAAAACCGATGTCCAGAATCACTGTAAAACCTGCCAGTCCTCCTGCTAATGCTTAGATACAAGTGCTGTGTGTAGATGCAGTCACGTATAACACTAGAGTAAATATCACCATTGGTTAACATGGAATAATGTTCCGCGTGTCTGCTGCACGTACAACGCGTACGTGCTGTGACGCCTCCTGTGTAAATTAGCAGTTAGTGTGAGTTCATTCTGACTTTACTCAAACTAAGCCATAGACCAGAGGTTTCAAACTCATTTTGATTCCGGGGCCGAATGAAAAAAATAGAAACTCGTTAGAAGGGTCGAAAGATTAGAAGATTTGCGTTTCTTATGATTGTTTTTTTTACAGCATGAAGGGATTTTAACATTACTTTTGCTTTGTTCCATTGACAAATCTAGTTTTATGGCAGAATGTGCTGAAATTAAAGGTATGTAGGAGGATTTTCTACTTCCGGGTGGATCATCAAGACTATTGGTCCTCCTAATTGTCAATCATTCTGGTGGTATATGCTCGTCAAATTATACCAGAGAATTTTGTTCATAAAGTGGAGAAGGAAAAATCCTCCTTTTTTCCTCATAATATTTAGCAAAATCTGAGCAATTTTTGACTTATTTTTCACAAATTTTTGCAGTGTGAAAATGATTGGACTTCTTTGTAGCAGCCGAGTGATTGAGATTCATCTAAGGTTTGCAGATCAGAACGACAACAAGTCCTCCTTACTGCAATTACAAATCACTCTGGGAAAAATACTTTATAAGACATTGTTGTAAAAAAAAAAAAAAATTGATGCTTAGATGGTTTTGGCTTTTTACATCCATTGAATTATAAAGTTGCATATTATTGCTAAGTCAATTTACAAACAACACATTTAATCCAGGCGTTCCCTTTGTGTTTGTACTGTGATTATTCATGATTTTAATGTTTCTATCTTGTTTTGTTCAGCACTTTGAGTTGCTTTGAGTATGAAATGTGCCATACAATTAAACTTGCCTTGCCTATAGTTCTTTCCAGGTACTGACAAAACTCCCCTGAAAATCCTACTCGTAAGTTATAGTGGATCAAAAGTCCATACTGCATGTTTTCATCTCCACTTTTCACCCAACAACATCAGAAACACGACAATTCCCAGTTTGCGAATGGTATTTCACAGATTTCAAACCTCATTGACTCTTATCCACGTCGAAGCGGGAAGTCCTTAATCCGTTCTTTCTTGCTCCTGATTCGACCCCATTGATTGGTTTTTGACTCTTGGCCTCGCGGAGAGCCACCAATCAGGGCTCACTTGTGGCTGCGGAGGCGAGGGTCCCGGTCGCGCAGCATTGATTGTAAAGGCAGAAAAAGAAAGGCTATCTGGAAGTTGAGGCACTGAGGTAGTTGGCTATTTTTCGGCCGTAGATTGCAATTTTTTTTTTTTTTAGATTGAGAGCCATGAGTCCCCGCAGAATAATGGAATTGCTGGATTTGAGAGACAGGTTAAAGCACAGCGGTTTGTGTTAAAGTGTTGATAATGATTTCTAATTGCATCATGGGGATTTTTCTTTTGACGTGTTGTTTAAAGCTGGGGTCACTTTCAAACCGCAAAAATGTAACTGAAACTTGCTAAAATCCATGTCACTAGTTAGTAAAAACAATAAAATTCACATTCAGTTTACTTGAAGTTTGCAGTAAAACCACTTTGGAATACTTATACAAGTGTCCCCAGTGTGCAACAGACAAGTACTTTAATAAAACAAGCCGAAAAAGTACAAGAAACAAAATCACTGTGAAAGCAATCAACAAAAACTATTTCAATACTGTGCTGAAAGAAGCTGTTAGTTTGTCCTGCATCTCAACAAACAATATTTTACATTATTTATTATTTATTTATTATTTATATTGAGGGAAGAAGCTGGAACATGGCTTTTCCAGGGGCCAGAAGAGTCATGGAGTCTGGATTAATGAAGAACCTTTCGAACAGACCGTTCAGAGTCCTCTTTCAGAGCAGAGCACCTTGTTTAGAGCTCTTCTTTCTTTAAACAATAATAATGACAATAATAATAATACTAATAACAAAATCAATTATATTTTTACTAATAATAATAATAATAATGATATTAATAATGCAAACTAACATTATTCTTAGACTCAAACACAGTATTGATAAATTGTTCTGCAGTAGTAGTTCACACACCAGACTGCTTATGTGGGTGAAGTGTCTGTTGGCACGACAACAGTACTCACCAGTTATGTTATAGTGTCCTGGATCATCACCCTCCTGCATCAGCAAGGAAAAACTCTAAAACCCAGTGGGAGAAAAGTGTGAAACCTCGGGGAGGTCTACATTGAGAGAGGGATCCGCTCCAAATGGACGGATGTGCTATAGACCCGTGTAAAAGTGGATATAGAAGTCTGTCCTGGTGCAGGGTCTCAGAGCTAGAGCTGAGTTCGTTTTCTGATGTTGTGTTGGACCAAACAGCTGCAGAGTCTCGAGGTTTGACAGAATCACAGCTTGAGTAAAATGGATTAATACACTCAAATCTATCTAACTATTTATTTGCTCTCAAAACAGCTGGTGTGGCATGATGTGTATTTTTACTGGGAGAGAGTACAACAGACATGAGCCAAAAGGAGAGATGCAGTGGACCAGGTTACAGCTGCAGTCTTGAGGCAAGGCATGTTTATTTGTATAGCACAGTGCTTAACAAAACAAGATAAAAACACAAGGCATTCAAATCATAAATAATCACAGTACATTAAACAAGAGTGAACATACAATCCTTCAGGTGTAGCAGCTAAACAGAACTGTTTTTAACCTGGATATGAACATTGTCAAAGACATCGCAGCCTCGCATCGCAGAGTTTAGTCCTGACTCTGGGCACAGCAGGAGGTGATGTCACAGAACATCTGTTTTCATCGACTCGTTTTACTATCACTAGTTTTCACATCCATGTATCTGTTGGCCTTCCTCACATCTTTCGATCAGAATCATGAACAGCACCACCACAGCCTTAGCCTGGTCGTACCACACCATAGTACAAATGACATTTCGGACTAAGGTCTGGAGGTGCTCCAGACCTTTTACAGCTGGGAGGGGTTAACTCCTTTTGCAGATTGAAACGATTGGATCTGAGTTTGCCCGAGTCTGTCGTTAGCATTTAGCCTAGCCATCTCCTTTGCCGCTAACGGAGCCCGTGGAGAGTAGTGCTTGCTAAACATTACTTTTGCTCTGGCTTCAATTTCTTGATAGAACCAGACCGGATTACTTTACTATCGCATTTTTCGTCATTACCAAACTACAACCTGCCTGTTCGACGCGAACTCTTCATGTCACCCACAACTAACTACAACACCTGCCTTCCGCGCTCTCTCAATGGTCGGTCGAAATTCAACCGATTGTAATCGCTAACATGTTGACCAGACCCAGACGTTACATGCAGTGAAATGATGATTGAGCGGAGTGTACGGATGGCTAAGGCCAGGCTACCACAGCCTCAGTCCTCGTTCTACAGTCTGAGTCCTGAATCTACAGCATGTCCGTCTGTGGGAGCAGATCCTTCTCTAAAGATGAGCCTCATCGAGGTGTTTCACTGGTTTCCCTGTGGTTTTTTGACTGGTTTCTTGCAGAGATAAGATAAGAGATAAAATAAGAGGCAGGAGGGTCTAAGGACAGTGACGATCCAGGACATTTATGAACCTTTATTGACAAATATTAACATTTACTGCCACAGGGGCAACAGTGGCTCAGCTGGTGGAGCATCGGCTTTTGAAGTTTGTGGGTCCTCACCCACAATGACACATCAGAGCCATTGGTCCCACTCTCTATGGACCAATGGCTTCCATGGGTTTGATATTATTTTATTTCCTGTGTTTGAACTTATCTAACTTTGTAAAGGCCCCACGAGACAACTGCTGTTGAAATTTAAGGCTCTACACAAATAATTTTTTCTTTTCAGATGAAAACCGTTTTTCGTCTGAAGACGATTTCTGTTTGAACAACCAAAAAAACACAACATTACTCTACATGTAATTCCCTCTAAATAACTATCGAAACATATTTGCAACATTTTTGGGAACTGCATTTACAGCTGTGAAGCACCTTAACAGCACTAAGCACTTTATACAAACTATTGCACTTAATATAATTGCTCAGGGCTTAAACTCTTGCTTCCTCTTCCTCCGCTTTCTCTGCACTTCTACAGAACGCCCTCTGGTCACATGGAACAAACAAATAACTTTAGTTAAAAACTCAACTCGCCGTGTTTGGAAGATAAAGAACAGCAGACTTGTGAGGCATGGGGGTGGAAACATTTCGACTTTTCAAATAAATAATCCTTTAGCACAAGAGGTGATGTCACAGA